GTGGGGAGCCGGTGGGAACGGCCCCGGGCCGAGATGCGGCAGCAGCGAGATTTGGACAGCCCTGGACGTCTCGAGGCAGCGAGCCTGGTGATTTCAGGACTGAGCCGGGGAGAGAATGTTGTTTTGGTCAGAACTTGGCGCTGGGGCCTGGATCAGCTGTGTTTTGTAACAATCACCACGTCAGGTCCTTCTGCAAAAGCGGCGGACAGCGGCCGCCTGGGCCCTGCAGCTCCCGGGAGGCGCCCGGACAGCGCCGATCCAGCCCTCGGAGGCCTCCCGTCTCCCCCATCCGTGAAGGCGAGAAGCCCCGTGGGACACCCCCAGGGCACAGACGCCCGCCAGGGCTCCTCAGAACAGGGAGCACAGCCCCGCTTTGTTGCAGAAGGTCGGACAGATACCAAGGCGCACAGCTTCTAGGAGCCAGACCACACTGCTGCTCTCACGAGGATAAACCAGACGCGTCAGCATCCAGAGCCGGTCCTGAGGGCACTGAGCGCCCTCGCCACCGGCTAGTCGCAGGGTGGGCCCCGGCGAAGGTGACCCTCGTGGGCAGGGAGACCTGGACCCGGCCCTCAGCAATCCCTGGCTGGTCCCCGCGTTTGGGCCTTGGTGACCCACCTTCTGGGCCTGATCATCTGCGACAGCCTCAGTGTCCAGGGGGTGCGCCGGGGGCATGGGAACAGCGGGAGGCTGCTCACTCTCCGCAGGCGGCATGGAGCAGGGAGGTGGCCAGCGCCCACGACCGAAGGGCACAATGCTGGGTGCAGGAAGGCAGAACGGTGCCCACACAGGAGGTGGGGCCTCCCTGGAGCTCAACAGCCAGAGGGGAGGACAAAGCAAAAACAAGCAAATACCGACGAGAAACCACACACAGCCATTCGAAGGGAGGGCGTGCCGCAAGCTGCCCACGGGCCCTGAGGTGCTCGGGGAGGAGCCCGTCTGAGGAGAAGACACTCACGAGACCCAGTGTGGGGCGACGGTGAGCTGCGGGGAGGACAGGAGCACTAATGAGGTCCCGAGGTTGGAGCCGCCTGAAAACAGAAAGCAGCTGTAGGGCTGCTGGGTTGAAGGGTGGTCCTTCCACCCAGAACCTGCCAATGTGACCGTGATGGGAAAAGGCGTCTTGGTTGATACGATCGAGGGACGCTTAATCATAAGAGACCATCATCCTGCATGAGGGTGGGCCCCAAATCCCATGACACGTGTCCTTGGAAGAGAAGACACAGAGATGGAGGCAGAGATGGGAGAGAGAAGTCTACCAGGCACAGAAACCAGAGGACGCAGCCACTGGAGGCTGGGGGTGGGGGTGGGGGGCATAGAATAGATTCTCCTTCAGCGTTTCCGGAAGGAATCAATCCTAACGACACTTTGATTTCAGACTTCTGGTTTCCAAACACCAGGAGAGGAGAAATGCCTGTTGTTTTTTTATTTATTTATGTATGTATTTATTTTTTGTGGTACGTGCCCCTAGCGGGAACCGAACCCAGGACTCTCTGGTCCGCAGGCCGATGCTCAACCGCTGAGCCAAACTGGCCAGGGCTCGCCGCCTGCTGTTTCCAGACACCACCTGTGGGGATTCACTGTGGGAGCTACGGGCCATGGTCAAGAGCGCGGACTTTGCTCTCAGTGCAGACGGGGTGGAAGCAGGAGGAGATATAATTGGGGCGATGCTTAGGCGGATCACGCTGGCTTAGAGAACGGATGGGGGAGGGAGCAGGTGGCGGCAGGGAGGGCAGTGAAGAAGGTCCCAAAGGGCAATGGAGCCCTGGGCTCTGACCCGAACCTGGCCCCACTCCGGCTGTGTGACCTTGGGCAAGTCACCTCACCTCTCTAGGACTCAGCTTTTACCTGTGCAGCGGGAGAAGGAGAATACCTCTCCCAGGAAATGATTTAGTCCGTGTAAACGCCTGGAGGGACACTGCCCTGTGGGGGGCCCCTGCATCTGCATTCTTTTTGTTTGTTTGTTAATCCTCACCCGAGGATACTTTTCCCTTGATTCTAGGGTGGAAGGGAGGGAGGGAGAGGGAGAGAAACAGCAAGGGTAGACAGACACATCGGTTGGTTGCCTTTTGCACGACCTCAGGGTCAGGGATCAAACCAGGTACGTGCCCTTGACCAGGAATCGAACCCATGACTCTTAGGCCCACAGGCCCATGCTCTAACCGCTGCGCAAAACCAGTCAGGGCTGTATGTGCCATTCTTGCCAGGATCAGAGATGGGGAGGAGGAGAGGGTCCATGCACAGGAGCAATGCCATGCGGTGGTGCTGTTCCCCGAGGGGAGGGGGGACTGGGACAGCTGGGGAGGAGAGATCACAGCTGAGAGCACCCGGACTGGGCCCTTGGGGTGGGCAGGGACTTCACCTGATTCTGCCTGTCACTATCAGCCTACACTTTGCAGGGTCCCTGGCTCAGACTGAGGGCCCTGTGGAGGTTTGCTGAGGGCACTGTCGGAAGGGCATCTCTGGGAGATGGCCAGTGCCCCGCCCCAGGGGGTGTTGCTGGGTGAGCCACTGCACATGAAGACTTCTCTCGGGGCCGCCAGCACCCATGACCATCCGATGGGCTGAGACCACAACCCCCAGCTGCCTGTGTGCCCCGGTCCTACAGAATTCCCATCCTCAGTGATGAGATAGGGAGGAGCCAAGGAGAAAGTTCTTGACCACCAGTGGGGGGCGTCTAACACAGAAGAGGAATGGCAGATTTCTACAGCTACTTTGGGGTTTCCAGAACAGTCTCTCTTCTCTCCTGGGACCACTGAGCCGGAAGCCGGGTGGGGTGGACTCAGCACGTGGGCTCCCACGGCAGGCCGGGCCACGCACTAAGGGGTCCCGAGCAACCCCGAGAGCGAGGGCAGAAAACAGCTAGGGTGGGGAGAGTGGGGACAGCCAAGGCACGGGGACGGCCTCAGCCAACATCACATTAAGACAAAAGACAAAATCAGGTCCCTTAAAAACTGGGCTCGGCGTATTTGCGCAGCATCGGTAACATTGTATCAGCACATGCGTTGCCCTCCCCTCCACGCAGTCCGTTTGAAACCATCTCAAAAGGAGACCAGCCCTCAGCCCGGGCACGCTGGCTCCCGTGGAGAGCACGGGACACTCATGAGAGCCACAGCACACTGTGCTCTGTGCAGAACAAACCTTCCACCCCATCAACCTCCTCTGAGCTTCGAAACAGCACTACCGGGGGCAGGCCGGGGGTCTCAGCCCCAGTCCTCTGCTAGTGCAAACAGACAGGGGGCCGCGTTCACCCAGAACATGTAACAGACGCAGCCCCGTGAGTTAATTAAACGGAGAGACGGCTAACAGCGGCCACTTGCCAATGGAGTCCCCAATGAAGTCTTACCTGCTCTGGCTTCAAAGCCTGGCTCTTCTCACTATACCACACCAGCTCCTTCTAATAGGGGGGACCCCCATTAGAGAAAAGAAAGGTCACATGACCAATAACAACCAATCACGCCAAGCCCCGATCTCCGAACCACGGTTCCAAACCCAGAGCTTTCTTTTCGGGCCAGAGGGGGAACTATGTTAACTTCAGCACAGAGCGATGGAAACATGGAATCCCCTCCGTAGTAAGTTCTCACCATTCAGCTGGATAGGGCATCTAATCACTTAGCCATCTGTGACGCTCAGCTGTCTGTCAGCTCGACTGGCCACAGGCCACCCAGATCACACTCATTCTGGCTGTGTCTGGGAGGGTCTTTCCGGGCGAGATTAGCATTGGGATGGGTGGACCTGGTAGAGCAGACTGTTTTCCCCAAGGCTGTGGGTACCGTCCAGTCCATTGGGGGACTGACTAGGACAAAAGGCAGAGGGACTGGTCCTCCAGCCTCACGTTCTCTCATCTTCTCCGCCCCTGGCTTTCCAGCTCCCGGATGGCAGTCCTGGGACATCTCAGCCTCTACCTATCGTCTATCTATCATCTATCTCCTATTGGTTCTGTTTCCCTGGGGAATCCTAATACCCCATCAATGCTTTTTATTAAGAAGTCACTCCTACAAGATGAAACACCTCCTTGCGCTGGGCACTCTGTTAGGTGCCAGAGGAAAATATTTTAATGAGACAAAAACCCATGATACGAATTCCGACAGCACTCCCAGAAAGAAAGAAAAACCAATGGTGTTCCTGGCACTGACTGAAGTCTGAGCATAAATCTCCCTCTAATCCGGAGGTTCTCAACGTCGGCCAGTGAAACGACCTAGAGAGATTTAAAGCATCCGATTCCTGGGTCCCACCCCGGAGTTTGTGATTTATCTGGTCTGGGATGTGGCCAGGGCATCGGGATTTTTTGAACCCAAGAGGGATTTGCTAATTCTTCATCAACATGACTTAATTGTGGACACAAGGCATCTCTACTGAGTCATAATTCATAACTTGCTCATTTACAAAATGAAGGGGATGCAGCCGAAGGCACAGGAGACAGAAACCAGACCCTGGGAGGAAGCAAGAGCAACGGGACATGCGCAGAGAAGACAGCAACCTGTGTGGCAAAGGACTCCTCATGGTGCGCACAATCTAGCCCTGAGCTTGCACAAAAATACCCATTTCCAGCCAAGCAGGTCCACAGGGACGGCTTCAGAATCTGGGGACGAAAAACACAGCTGACCCCACCGGGCTTTTGTGACTCATCAACAGTGAAGCAGCCCCCAAGTGAGCTCCCAGCCAGCTGGAAGGTTGACCTCTTTCCCCCCAAAGTCGACAGGTTTCCCCGGAATGACCCTGGACGAAGGAAGTCCGCGAAGGCTGCCAGGAGGGTCCAGCCGGCACTGGAAACCCTCCCACGGAGGCTCGGGCAAGACCTGCCTGCACCCAGGTCCCCAAGGAGCGCTGCTGAAGCAGGGACGCCCTCTGACAAACATGCCCCCACTCCCGGCCCGCGGTGCGTCTCATTTCCTTCTGCTAAGTCTCTTCGGGGGACAGACCCTGCAGGAGGCATGGAGAACGGCAGGCCAGAAAGCCCGGCCAACGCAGCCGGGGAGGCCTGCTCAGGGGGCACTTACGGGGGGTTGTCACATTTCCTCTGCCGGAAGCGGGCTCCTGTCCCACATGTACGGCTGCACCTGCTCCAGGTGCCCCAGGGGCTCCAGTCTCCGTCCGCGTGCTCCGGGATGGGCGTCTTGCTCACACACTCCCCCGCTCGGCACCACTGAAACACAGCGATTCCTTCCGCGTGAGACCCCGGCACACTGCAGGCGCCCTGTAACCCGCGCTTGCTAACCTTCCGTGGGAGACCCCGGCACATCCACAGACGCCCTGTAACCCGTGCTTGCTAACCTTCCGCGTGGGAGACCCCGGCACACTGCAGGCGCCCTGTAACCCGCGTGCTTGCTAACCTTCCGCGTGAGACCCCGGCACACCCGCAGACACTCTGTAACCTACGTGCTTGCTAACCTTCGCGTGGGACACCCCATCACACCCGCAGACGCCCTGTAACCCGCGTGCTTGCTAACCTTCCGCGTGGGAGATCCTGTCACACCCGCAGGCACTCTGTAACTCACGTGCTTGCTAACCTTCCACGTGGGAGACCCCGTCACACCTGCAAACCCCTCTGTAACCCACGTGCTTGCTAACCTTCCGCGTGGGAGACCCCGGCACATCTGCAAACCCCTCTGTAACCCACGTGCTTGCTAACCTTCCCCGTGGGAGACCCCGGCACACCTGCAGACCCCTCTGTAACTCACGCGCTTGTTAACCTTCCGCGTGGGAGACCCCGTCACACCCCAGACGCCCTGTACCTACGCGCTTGCTAACCCTGCACTTGTGGCCCGACAGCCTCCCAGGGTTCGGGCTTTGCCCTGAACTCGCACGTGCTCCCCTGCGGCCTGCTATGTCCCCCGACCCAGGGCGAAGCGCAGGGCCCGCGAAGAGACCCGCGCTCTGCAAGCGTGACTGCGTGTGCGGGCGTGTCCTGGAAGGCGGCGTGTCCCGTGTCCCGGCTCTGGGGCGTGGGACGCCAGGGTTGGGTTTGGTGCTCCGAGGGGACAAGCCGGCCTCACGTGGGTGAACCGTGGTTCCCACAGAGGGTGAGAAGGCCAGCCCCTGAAAGGATCTCCCAACATGTGGGGCACAAAGGCCGGCTCCATGGGCCCCGATCGCGCATCCCCTTCACTCTTGCAGACACTAAGGAGCAAGCCTGGCCCTGGCCGCCCCCGTCTCTGACACGCATCACTCCCTCCTGGGGTGACCTTAAGGCCGCGGGCTCGTCTGGCGGCCTCTAGCGCGGACGAGACCCTGGGACGGGACACCTGCGCTCACTCATCTTACTTTGATCCCCTTTCGTGTATGGCCATTGATCCTACTTTCTGGGCTATGGTCTCCTGGCGTAAAAGTTCTCAAGCAAATCCACTAATGTGAGACCCCATCACACCCGCAGACGCTCTGTAACCAGAGAGAGAGAGAGAGAGAGAGAGAGAGAGAGAGAGAGAGAGAGAGAGAATGGAGGTGGCCCTCTGCCTAGAGTGGGCCCCTGGGCCCAGGGGATTCCCCAGAGGTTCCTGAGAACAGAGCAGACAGTCTCTTGGGAGCCGTGCCCAATGCCCAGGAGCGGGGCTGCCTGTTGGGAGCGTGGGGGCGGGGTTACCTTGTCGGCCCCACACTCAGTACCGTCCAGGGGAGGGTCCAGCTTGGTCTTGCAGGAGGCATCTCCTTCCACCAGGCACCACAGTCCGGCACACATCAAGTGCTGCTAACAAGGGAAGGAACGTGACTGCCCAGAACACCGCAAGCGGGCGCCGCGGGGTCGCTAGGGGGCCCTGTGACTGGTCTGAACTTGGGCTTTGCAATAGGAGGAGGAGAAGGAAGGTCATGAATCTGGATGTGCAAAAAAAAAAAAAAAAAAAAAAAGGTGCATCATTTCAACTTTTTGGTTTAGCTCAGCAAAATGCAAAATTCTGTGCATTTACTCCGGGAGGGTCGTCTCTGGGGGGGAGTCAGTTCAGTGGCCCAGCATTAGACATTCTGGGCCCCAGGATGTCTGACGCAGGGCACAGGCGGGGGGCCTGGTGTTTCACATGGGCAGGTATACTGCAGAGATCTGTGTGTGGCACACAGGGGAAGCCCGCCAGCCCAGCCCCCTCGAGGGAACTTGCTGGGAGCTGCAGAATCGAGGACTCAGGGACCCCCCCAAGGGATTAAAGAGACAACCCTTCAGTTCCTCCCATGGTCGCTACCTCCTAGCTTGGCTCAGCTGTGCACCATCTCTTCCAGCATTTCACCTAGAGAATTGCTTACCGTGCCCATCGATGCAATTAAAATAGCTCGACTAGCCAAAGGAGGCATTTCAAAATACAGACTCCCGTTTGCATGGAGAGGAAACTTGGACGTGGACAAAAGTGCTCAGAATCAGACAATTTACGAAAATGACTAAAGCAGACACGGCCAATGTCCTCCCTGGCTGCCCCGGTCTCCCCTGCAGGACTCAGGGCAGGAAGTGTCCACACATTTCTCCCTGCTGGAGGTCACCCTGGCCACGGAGAAACCCGGACCACAAGGGACGGGAGCTGGACTGGGACGGCTCTGAGGCAAGGGCCACAGGTGTTCAAGTCCCGTGGGACGGCCCCTCCATCCATGTGGTCGCCTGCCCATCTGTGCACCTCTTTTGACTCTCTCCTCCCACTTTCTTGCCTCCTCACAATGCTTCCTGGGATCACCTCCCAGATAAACTGCTTGCACCCAAATCCTCGTCTCGTGGTCAGAAAATTAAGACCAGATGTACTTAAGGCTCTTTTAAAGACACAGTGTTTCCACGACGCCGAACCCAACCATGGCGAAAAAAAAACAAAAACCTGAGCTGGAGCTGGCGTGGGGAAATGCCACCCTCCAGGGCATGGCCGGGGACCTGGGGTGCAGTTTGGGCAGGGCGAGGGTCAAAGGTCCCTGTGCACAGCTCAAGGTAGCCACAGCGGGGCTCGCCAAGGGGGTGCCCTGCTCAGTTTCAAGGTCTGCCGTTCCGAGTCACCTCAAACATCTGCACAGAAGACAGGCGCTGACAACCGGCTCATGTCAGAACTGTTCCAGAGTGGACGGGACAGAAACAAAGGAGAAAAGGGGAGAACGTGGGGCTGCAGGGGCTTTGACAACGAGCTAAGAGAAGCCCGCAGCGCTTTCTCATTTTTCAAGTGTGCTGGGGCCGCCCTCTGCCCTGAAAGAAGTTGATGATTCAAGCGGAATATTGCGCCTTTGGGGTCAGAAAAGCCCCCGTGTCCCTATTAGAACGACAAAAAGATGAGAGAGAGTCTTGAGCGCAGTACCGGCTGGTCCCATAAAGCCAGCTGCACCTCATTAAGTGTTTGGTTCCATGCACTTTGACCCAAGGGCTCTTTGAAAGGGTGGTGTCAGTGTGTGGACACATGTTCCAGGGACAAGGTTGACCCAGGAGGTGAATTTATGGGGTGGGGGCGCTTCAGGAGAGAGGGGAAGAAGGTGGCGTAAACTGTTTATTATGAATTTTATAGACAGCGCTTTCCCATAAAACTTTCCTAATCATAAAAAAAAAATACACACACACACACACACCAAAAAAACAGGAGAATGAGGTAAGGCAAAGATTTCTTAAACAGAACACAAAAAGTATGAACTATAAAGGAAAACATTAATGAATTATATTATACTAAAATGGAGAACTTCTGTTTCCCAAAAGACAATTGTAAGAAAGTGGGAAGATAGTCACAGTACATGGGAGAGAGATCTGTACTGCATAGAACCCACAAAACATTTGCATCCAGAATACATATTTTTCTAACAATCTCCTGCAGATCAGTTAAGAAAGAGACCCAGCCCTGGCTGGGTGGCTCAGTTTGTTGGAGCGTCATCTCCTGCACCAAAAGGTTTCGAGCTTGATTCCTGGTCAGGGCACAACCTAGGTTGCAGATTCGATCCCAGGTCAGGGTATGTATAGGAGGCAACCGATCGATGTTTCTCTGTCACATTGTTTTTTCTCTCTCTCAAGTCAATAAACATATCTTTGCATGAAGAGTAAAACAAAGGAAAAAGAAAAAGACCCCGTAGAAAAATAGGCAAGAGACTTAAACTGACACTTCACAAAAGAGGATATCTAAACATATAAGATGGCCAACAGACTTAGGAACAGGTGACCAGCTTCAGCGGTCATCAGGGAAAGGCAAATTAAAATCACCTCTAGATACCTCTCCACACCCACTGGAAAGAATGGCTAACCGAGAGATGGAGAATACCAAGTGTTGGCAAGGAAGCAGTATGATAAGAACTCAAACCGATGATGGGATTCTAACTTGGTTCAAAAACTTTGGAAAACTGACTACAGGACTTACTAAAGCTGAAGACATGCACACTGCAATACTCAGCGATTCCGCTCCAACAGAAACATGTGGGTATGGTCACCAAAAACACTGTCAAGAACGTTTACAGCAACAGTATTTGTGTCAGTCCCAAAGCTGAAAACAACCCCAATACCCATCAATAGCAGAACAGATCAATTGTGGTCTATTAGAACAATGGAATACTATATGGTTCTATTTATATGATGTTCAAAAACAAGCAAGGGAAAACTATAGTGGTAGGAGTCAGGATAGTGGGTGCCTCTTTGTTTAGTACAAAAGCAGAGACACGGGGCATGAGCAGAAAATGTGACTTCAGAGCCACAACCACTGACCCAAGCTTGGCCAGTGGCATTGCTGGTGCCCCTGCCAAGTGGTTACCCTTCTCACCACTGGACACATGGGGCAGACTACTTACTAATGCTCGCTCCTCTGATGCCTTTTAGATGCACAGTTGGCATTTGTGCCCCACTTTACAAATGACAAAGCGCTCTGACATCCGTGGGATGCAGGGAGGATGGGCTTTGTCAAATTCCCCCCACTTTTCCCACGAGAAGGCAGATGTTTGCAGAAGTCAAGGGCCCTGATCTAGGTCAGCAGCTCAGGACTGGGAGTTCACTTACCAAGGTTCATATCCTGGTTCTTGAGGTATGTGGTGGTTACATAGGTGTGCTCATTTAAAAATAAATGAAGCAAGCTCTAAACGCGTGATTTGTGCACATTTCTGTATGCGTATTATATACTTCAATTAAATTATTTACTTGAAGAAAGTAGAGGGAGATAAAGAATGGAGGGAGGGAGAGGGAAGATAGGAAGGAGAAGGAAGAAAAGAAGGAAAAAAGAAAGGAAGGAAGAAAGGGAGGGAGGGAGAGAGAGAGGGAGGGAGGGAGGGAGGGAGGAAGGAAATGCATGATTAGATGGGAAATTCTGAACCTGACTTGTCATAAGGTAGAATCAGAAATATCAGGACTGCACAAGGAGATTACAAGGATAGACCGTATGTGTGGGCAGTCATATCTCAGAGTAAGAGAGACCCTCTGTGTGGCAAGGAGTCTCTGCAGTCACACACACACACACACACACACACCCCATAAGAACTTCTGCTAGCTTAGAAACAGCCCTGGCTCTCTCCAACACGAACATCCTGTAATTAGCTGGTCCAGAAATAACTCAGGGGTAAACAATAGAAACAAGTAATCAGCACAGGATCTATATACTAAGACAGTACAAACCAAAAAGGGAGAAAGAGTGGGGGGTGGGGAAGAGAAAGAAAACAGGTGGGGACACTCGCCAGAAGACATGGTCATGGAATGGCTAAAAATAGTGTGCATTCGTTTTTCTAAAAAAAACATTGTAACTGTGTCCTTTTATTTTGTGTTTGCAAAAAAAAAAAAAAAAAAGCAAATACACAAGAACTCAGGGGAAAGATGAACGAGTCAAAGTGTTTGAATGATCAGAACTTGGTCGAGAAAATAAAACCAGATGACCAATGAGGTCAACATGAAAAGCAGCGTGGAGACACCCCACTAAACACACAGGGAGGCGAACAGATGGAAGTGATGATTTTTAAAAAAGTAAATAGAATAAAATGGAAATGTACAAATAATTCCAAAAAAAAAAAAAAATTAAGAGGAAATGACAGATATAAAAGACACACAAAGGATATCTAACCTAAGCATATGTGGGAGGCAGGTAGGATGGGGCCGTTTCTATTTTTTTCTGCCTGCTTTTCCAATGAGGAGGCAGATGTTTGTAAACAAGGGCTCTGAGCTGGGTTAGAGGCACAAGACTCCTAAGGACAGGTACTAAAGTAACGTCACAGAAAAGGCACTTGGATATAAATTCAAGACCATATCCTAAAGTGAAAAAAGATCTCACCCTCAGATTGGAAAATAAAGCCCTGCTCGAGGACAAATGGCCAAGAATGAGAGCAAGCCCCGAGACAGTCACTGGATCTGATAGGAAAAGCGAAAAATATTTGGGGGACCCAGGCAAAAGATCCCAGTCACCGATAAAGGGAAGAGATACCAGGCTTCGACAGATTTCCCCACAGAAGCGTTTACACCAGAGGCAATGGAACAACACTTAGGAATCAATGGGATCCAAGATGCTCATGTCGACTGAATAGCGGCTCAAGTATTTCGGTAACAGAAAAACATTTTGAACATACTCAGAGTTGAATCCCCAGGAAAGACAGAGACAAGAAGGGGTCGGGGAGGGAGAAGTAGCCACGTGTCTCTATATACACCAAGTCCTTCATCTTTCTTTTCTAGCTGGAGGAGGTGCAAAACAGAACAGATTAATGAAATAAATGGTGCTAGAAGGGCTCCGAAAGGTAACATCGATCACCATGAAAATAATGAAACGGGGTGGTGGAGAGAATGGAAAG